TTCAATTCCTCTCTAGTATTAGTTCACTCTCTCCCTATATATATATATATATCTTGTTCAAATTTGCAATCGTTAATAAAATACTTTCTATTCATCCATTCAAGTTCAAATACATTTTTTTAAAATTTGTAGTGGATGACATTTGATGTTAATACAGTTTTTTCAAATATCAATTTCTTAATTAAATTTAAAAAATTTATAAATAGTAACAAGCAAAAATAATATTCCGACAGCATACACAGAAAGAAGAATTATTCGTTATGTCCCCCTATAGCGCAATGGTTAGCGCGTTGGAATTTTAATCCAAAAGTCGTGGGTTAAATTCCCTCCAGGGGTAGCCTAATTTCTGCGAAAGTGGTTTCTTTTTTACTGTACTATTTTATAAGAATAACTGTTGTGTTTCTTGTCGTGTGTTTTTATCCTGCGATACATATGAAATACGAGTGGAAGAACAGAAACACACAATACAAAAAGAATATAGACCAGCGTTTCTCAAACTGTGGGGTGCGCCCCCTAGGGGGGCGCGAGCATATTGAAAAGACGAAAACAAAAGACTATTTTTTTAAAAAAAATATTAATTTACTGAAAGTAAACAAACAAAATATATTCTGACATAATAAAAGTAAAATACACATTTACACTGATATAATACTCTTATAAATGTATTTTATAATTAATTCATCAATACTAAGTTAAGAACAGGTTTAATAATTGCCAGTGACCCCATGGGCTTGTCATATCTAAAATTATATACAAAAATTAACATTTCTCTTGATAACTTGTACGGTTTGTAATTAATCACTTAAAAACGCCGATTAAAAATTACGCGATTCGCCCCCAATGCCACCGTTTAACACGTAGGCGAGTGTATGTGGTGTCTTGGGGGGGGGGGGTGAAAAGTAATAAATAAGAGCAAAACCTCTGAAATAAGTAAATCCGTCTCAAACACTGTCAAGGTCCTTTTATTGAAGCCTTCGAAATAATTTTATGGGTAGCAGTGCATAGAAAAGCTTCTGAAATACGTATATATATGTCCTGGACAATTAACGTGGTGGCTGATTGATTGATTGATTGAATATTAACGTCGCACTGCTTAGCTACACTAGGGCTTTTGGCGACGGACCACGTAATTTTGAACCATGGTCAAGTGACGTGGGCGACACCTGAGCTTTCACCCCCTCTCCTAACTACCACACCACACCAACGGGAGGACGTGATGGCTGAGAGAGACGTTTATATACGCCGATGGCACTTAAGAGGTTAAAGTCGTATTGTAGGTTTAGCGTCAAAGTATATTATTATTGAATTCAATACATTGTTATTGTATGTAGGGGAGGGGGCGTGACGAAAATTATTATTGAATATTGGGTCGCAAACAGTGAAAGTTTGAGAAGCACTGATATAGACATTTATTACACACATGATGATACCAGCACATAACAGAAGGGGTGTGTTGCTTTCCATTCGAGACAGGAATTCTCTCAATACAGGCGAAAGTCCAATTTCTTTTCCCAAAAAAGATATAACCATGCCTTACTCGGGATTCGAACTCACTCGTTTACAAGCCGAGGGTCATATTCACCATACTGGCTGGGCGGCATCAGAATAATTAAATTTAATTAACGAGTAAACAGTAACAAATAAAAAAAAAATACTCCAGCACCCTATATAGCGAGGAAAATGGAAAACTGTAAGGAAAATCGCTTTCTATTTTGTCACTTAATAGTGTGATTCTGTCATATGTATATACTTATTTATATTAATTGTAGCTATTTAAAAGCCCATGGCTGAGGGGTAATGCATCGCGCTTCCACTTCACAGTTCCGAGGTTCAAACCCCAGGCTGGGCAAGGTCAACTCAGCCTTTCATCCCTTAAATGGGTCGATAAATGAGTACTAAGTTTGCTTGTGAACTTGACACTGGGGGTTTCGCGTCAGACTGACCATCTTACCGGAAAGTCGGCTTATGCACCTCAGGGCCCAGTGGTCACGTATACTGATGTAGGCCTTGGTCCTCGTGGGCTTTTGTGCCACTGGGTAAAGTTAACTATTTAATAAAAAGTAACAAAAATAAATCTTTTCTTTGTTGACTTTCGTAGGAATTGATTTAAAAATATTTTTTTATATATTACTTTTTTTTTAAAAGGAAATTGCTAGTATTGTTATAACATTGCTAATTACTAAAAATTTTTTTCACACACGTTCACTTTTTAACACATTGTATCATTTTCCCCGTTAGATAACAGACGATAAAAAAAAAGTGTCTCACAGTCACATCTGTGTTGAAGCAACGGCCGAGACATTCTTTCGCGAACAATGTTTTTCACACAACGCTGGTCTTCTTAGCGTCGGTTTTCACTTGAGGTCAAACGCTTTCGATTGCAATCTTTCGCCCACGCTGATTTGAGGCGATTTAACCTTTGTTTTCTGAGGAAGACAATGAGCTTACTGTATTCCTCGCTATAAATAAGTGGGAAACTTTAGAAATAAAGGTTGGCAATACAGTTCTTCCTTAGTCGATCTTCGCTAATTAGAAAAAAAAGGAAAGTTTATTTAGTACCTGATGTAATTTGTGGTTGATATCAAATTGATTGCCACGGTTGGAGGCTCTAATTTAATCAAGTGGACGTGCTGCTTCTAATCCCTTTCTAATGGCAGATTTTTCCGATAGTTCCGACAAAAAGAAAAATATAAGGATTGGGAGTCTCATGGCCTTTAATTGGAATTTTTATTCAATGATTTCTTTGACAAAATGAAGGGGAAAAATAGTTTATGACCACTTAATCATATGAATTATTAAAAGATCGAATTACCGTATTTATTCGACTCTAAGCCTCACCCCCTGTTTTCTACACGTCTTTGAGAAAAACATTTAAAAAAAATTGTGTTAAAAGTTCATCAACATCCAATACTTCAGAAATTTTTTAAAAAATTATTGAGATATAATAAGTTAATATAATTAAAATTTATTTTACTAGTACTAAAAACTTTCAACTATACATACATGACCCTGTAGTTGAGTGGTAGTGTATCGATCTTCCACAATCCAAGGGGGGCGGAGGTTCACGTCAGACTGACCACATGACCGAAACATATGCACATACACCCCAGCGCATAAGGTCACTTAAACTGAGATAGGCACAGTAGGTCTTGGCCCTCATGGGATGTTGCCCCACTGAGTTCAGTAAAAAAAATCATGTTACTTTCTTTAACCAAATGAATTAACATTGTATTATATTTTCTATTTTGTGCGTTTTTCATAGATTTTCACAGATTATACGATCGCCATTTTTATTATATGCAAATCCAGTCACCTTATTTAAAAATCTAATAATCTTATCTAAAAATCACGTCTGATTCATCATATCCTTAGACATTATTTGAGATAACTACATTAAAAAAAAATTCTTACGCATTTGATAGTAGATATTTCTGATTTTTTATTTCTTTCACTGTTTGGTGGAAGATTTCCTAACCGATATAACGAATAATTTCATGCGTTGTAAAAATTGACTATTTGAATATAGGTTACAATCGCATGACATGATAATTTCATAAATATATACAGGTGATATGCTGATTTTCTTGATTCACCTATATCTACATAAATATTCAAATAAAAACCTTTATCGCCTTTTAAAAATATCTTGAAACAGTAGTAACTCTTATCTTGTGTTATAGCATAAGATAACCGACACAATGGTCACTTGACAATACAACCATCGTTTGTAGAAATATCTCAGTTGAATGGGTTTTTTTCCTTATTACCTACAGCAAATACCTACCAACTATGTTATTTCTAGTTGTATGATTGTTTTATACAAGTTGGCTTCTGCAAAGAATTCTTAACATTTTTTTTTATTTTATGCATCTCCAATGCCTTTTTCACGCGTCCAATAAAAAAAAACTCATTAGATTTCTCATTAAGTGATTTTCTCACACTCATTTTCTGTTTTTCTTCATTATATTTGTAAGCTATTATTCTTTTGTTTCCAAGTCATCCAGATCAACAGAACAAACCAAATTTAAGATTATGGAAGAACAGTCGAATTGAAAGCAGCTCTGGATCGAGCTATTTGAACGAGTAAGAGTTTTCAGAGCGTTGTCCTTATTTCAAGGGGCTCACATCTTTTTTTTTAACAAGTTCACACAACTAGAAGCTGCGTGACTGGTTGATAACTAAAACTAAGTCAGATGTTTGACCTTGATTTTCTAAACAACATAAAAATATCTGAAATATTTAGTCTTGGACTTATATTCGTATGGAGGTTTGAATTTAAGTGCTAGTTCCCTAGTACGTGGGAATAATAGTCGCTAAAGTTTATTCCACAAGCATTTATTCTTATAATCTCAAACAATCAAAAAGATATCCAGATAAATGACGATATCCAGAAAATAAATAAAAAATTAATTATATATTAAGCTCGAACAGAGTCAATTACGCATTACAATTCTTTTCTCCAACTCAAAAAGTATTTAGAATAACTACAAAAGATGCCAACTTAAGCAACATAACTTTAACAACAGACGATTATATATTAGAAAATATAAATTAAGTAAATAGATAAATTGGAGTGACACGAATTATTGAATTAAAGCAGACGATAATTATATTAAAGAGAATTTTCAACCTGAATAATATTTACAGCTACTGTAAAATTTAAACAATTAATTAAAAATTAGTTCAAAATAAAGAAAAGAAATTTAAAAAGAATTTTCTAAATATTTAACAATACGCAACAGTATGCACAAAATTCGAAGATGTTGTATATAAACAGTTTCACATAAACAAAAATAACAAACACTTCTGTGAAATGTAGGACAATGCTCAAAATTCTACAATGATAATTCATACGCAAAAGACTTTAAAATTAAGTACAAAATTAAAATTTAATTTAATAATTAAAAATTTATTTGGATAGTAATTCTTGAGTTTTCTTATTATGCTACTAAAAATTTATCAGAATGTTTTGTTGGAGCAATTTACTTTGAGATATAATCATTCCGCCATCAGAGAACTGTTGTTGCACTATGTTTCCCCCCAATGAAATTAAGTTTTTACACGCGTACAAACAGAATCAAGAGATTTTGCAGTACAAAGTATACTGCAAAAAGTGAATTAACGAGAGTACGCTTAGTTATACATTGTTTGAAATATTTTAATCACAGGTATGAGGTTTGGAAATATCAAAATTTCAGTACGCGAGATATATAAATAAAATTAAAACATAATTGTCAATGCAATTTTAAAAATCCTCATTAAGACTTATAATTTGAAAAAGGGGTCATTTATATATTTAGACTTGTGTATTCATGCTCGATAATACATCCTCATTAA